TTCATTCTTTCCCAAGTGGATACTATTGTTTGATATTTTCCATTTTAACATAAAGTGCCTCCTATAATGGATTTTTGAAAATTACCTTTCATGCAGTGTGTAACATCTCTAAGTGAATGAAAACATCCTGCAAAGTTTTAAATCTGACAGTGCACCGTGTATAAAGTCATTGTCTCTCAAAAGAAAGAGTCGACTCTGAATCATTTAAACGTGTCGTTTTTAAAACCAATCCCAAGCCGTTTCAACTTGATGTCAACATGAAACATTAGCATATTGCCCGCCCACTTGTTGGTCTTTTCGTGTTGGTCTGAATGAAAATGCAAATTCATTCTTTGCCACTAGGTGCCGCTTTTGGAGCGGTAAAAACAGCTGTTTCCTGGTAACGGCTGTAAACAAAGCAGCACTGCGCTCACAAACGCTGCTTTATCAGGCATTACAGGCATGATGAAATGGAAATGAGACCAATCAGACCAATCACCGCAGATTAGTATCACGCAAAGGAGGGGTTTGGAGAAATGAATCATTGAGCGAATCGTTTGGGAGTCTTTGAGCAAGTAATGTAAAAATCAATGCATATTATAAGACAATGAAAGTGTTTTTTGACCTTGCATGCATGTCAACCTGTTGTTAGGGACTCCCAAAACCAAAATATGAACCTTTCATTACCCATAATAGGGGAACTTTAAAGACAGACCTACTGTGAGTTCCAAAGTTATTAATCGATGGTTTATGCTTTTGTTGAAGCTTGTTGAAAAACTTCATTACCCATGAAGCTGGACAGAAAATTCCACCAATCAGAGTAGCAGCAAACTGAGTAAATATTTTGCACAATAAACTTAAAATATATTGTTTCTCTAAATAGTCATCAACTTTAAATTCTTATTTTTATATTTCATTTTAAATTTGATTATATAATTTGCTTTATCTTTTTTCCAATTTTCAAATACGTTTTTGATTCAAATAAAAGTTTGTAATATTGTGATTCACCTTGTCGCTAGTTGGCTTGTTTAATGGCTTATAATGCTTTAACAAAGACTTTTTAAAAATCCATGTGGGGAAAAATAAATAAAAAAACATTTCTGAAACCAACACAGCTGAAAAAGTGGGCAGGCACTAATGCACTCTTGATTTGTGGTTGCTAGGTGGTTTTCTACTAGCCTGAGTGTCCTTAGACATGGCCTGGGTCATATGGCTTGTGGTATTCATTCATTTTTATATAGTACTAACATGAGTCAAAGTTTAATTCTAATAATAATAGTAATTCTTACCTTAGCAAGCACCGCTAATTATGTTTTAATCCTCAGACAGTCCACTTTCAGATTTAAATTATTTTTCTTTTCCCTCTCTGAGTTGTAGACACGTGGTTGACAGAAGGGTGCTGAATACTATTTACAGCAGAACAGTGGCAAAGGACAGACAGATCTAGCACAGTCATATCAGAAACAATCACAACAGATATTGGAGAAGGTACTAGAAAAGTGTTTGGGTGTGTGTGTGTGTGTGTGCTTGACAATCCGGTCTGGAAGTGTTTATTGTGTGTTTGCACGTCTGCTTGTGAGATCATAGTTTTCCTTCCCTCTATTCTTGGAAGGCGGAAGTCATTTCACAGGGATTTCTCTTTCTCTCTTTGTCTGAGCCACCAAGAATGTTGCGTTCCTGTTTCTTGCAGGTGTTTAGTTCATTCAAAATATTAAAATAAAACTGACAATGTTTCAACAATTTACCATCAAATGCACCTATTTTTCAAACACTTGCAGTGTGTCTACCTGTAAACAAGCTTGAGCTGGATGAAGTGGTATCCATCTACACGGAGTCGGTATTGTTCCAAGCACATGTTACCCTTACCAAAAAGATATTATAATCTGATACAGTTTGTGTAAGTGGAATCATGGGAAATGTCTTGTGCTCATGCCTTCTGCTATGTTTGCTTACATCCCAGAATGCAGTCTTGAGGGAAAATCCAAGATTGTTTACTACCGCACAATCAAGGGGTTCATGAGAACATGTTGTGCGCAACAAAACATTGTTTTCCTGTCCCCAGCCACCTCGAGAGTCCTGTAAATTCCTGATTATCTTCTGCTATCACTTCCTTAATTAAGTGACCTTTTGTTAGTTAGCATCAGTTACAGGGGTTTAGCCCTATTAAAGCAATAATCACGTCAGTGGCATAATTTCCATTTAATCAACACACTAATTTTAGTACCATTATCTCGGCACACAAGGGCACGGGGACGTATTACATTAATAAACTTGGCATGGATGAATGTCTCCTCCACCACCCAGACGATTCGACCCCTGTGCCAAGAGCAGAGGGGGTGAGCGGGCTGGATATGCACATTAAGCTACTGACACGGATCCTGAGAGACCGAGCTGAAAATTTGCAGAATTCCTTTTTTTCCTGATTAGCCTAGGTAAGATTATTCAGCAGTCACTGACACGCCTATTCCTGCAAATTAACAATGCAATTAATTGGATTTACTCTACACATTTGACACCAGATGTGCTGTGTATCAGGTTGCCACTGTTGAGATGAAACGTCCTGGTGTTTGAGTGTGTCAGGAGTAAGGCTTGCATCAGGAGGTGGATGACGCATAAATCTCACATTTGCCTTTGGTTTGAGGCGATGACAATGTGAATTTCAATTACCCGCATCAGCCATAACAGAGTGAAGCTGATGGAGGAAATCTCACTGGAAGACATTTACAAGGCTGTGAGAATGTGCACTAGAAGTACCTTTTCTTTCACATAATCACTCCCTAATTAACCATTAGTTATTCGATTAGCCCTTTTAATCCTTGAGTCATGGGTACGAGTTTCTAAATGGTGGCTTAGTCATTGGCAGCCCTGTGACGACTAATTAATGGATGTGATGCACAAAATGGCCAGCAGAGAGAAGTTTATTTTGGGGGGGGGGCGGGGGGATGGTCATTAATTTGTAATAAAAATTAAATTATAAAATGGCTAGTTCTGGCTCGAAAATCTGATTGGATGAGTCGTTGTAAAATGGCCGACATTCATACATCTGCAGGGTTGATGCTAGTATCCCAGGACAGTTAAGTCGAGTAACCTGTACCATAGAGGACCTTTGTGGGCCACCCTTATCGAAGGGTGGGGACAACAGGGCTTCTTTACTTGCAGGAGTGTATTGCAGAATTATAAGCACTTGTTATTTACTTGGACCTACAAGAGTTAAACTTCACATAAACTTCAAATGTACTGAATGCACAGAGTAATTACTAATGCAGCTGAGCAACCAGAAATCGCCTATAATTAGGCTAATGAACTGTAATACTTGGAGTTTATGGGATTTATTCATTTACTCATTTATTTATTATTATTTGCGTTTATGATTTTTATTGCTGTGAACAATGCTGAAATCACTGCTTGTTTCAAGTCAAATATAATATCCATCTTCAAACAAGATAATGATAGTCTTTCACCTTCACAGTGCTTTTGTTGGCGATTGTGTTCGGCTTTCCAATTTCAATGAACCATGGCCACACAAAAAAAAAGTCATTTTGAGCCAGCATACACAGAGCCATTGTCACAATGTGGTGATTTCTGTGACAAAAGCTGTCTAGTAATGAGTCTTGGCTCTTTGAAAGCACTCCACCAAAGGTTATAAAAGGTTATGACAAGACACCTTTCTCTCACCTGTTGTCAAAGTAATATTTCTTCTTTCTGGTCACAGAAAATGTCAGTCCGAGGCATTCAGATTCTACCATTTATTACACTTATTACATTCTTAAATAAAAATGCTCCACTGAACAGTTCTTGCATAGATATCTTACAATACCAATTTAAAAAAGAATTATGAAACAGACCAGTAACAAAAATAAATTTCATCTTCTTCCTTAATAAAGAACATTACCATACTAACATTATATCATACAAATAATAATATTTTAAACACTTTGTACAGCAAAAGAACCAATAAAGACAAAGCACACAAGGAAAGAACAGAATAGAAAAAAAACAGAGAGGAAGAGTGTGAAGATTACAGGAAGTGAGGGGGTGGAGTGTTAGTGATGTGGCGAGGGAAAGAGAGGACAGTGAGTGAATATGAGGGTCCCTGCTCTAGCGAGAAACTACATGCTTCAGCCTACATATGGCAAAATGTCGTCCTACTTCCATACAGATAAATCAAGATGGCACATAACTGTTCTATTTTATTATTTTATTATTTATTTTTTTCAGATTTGTACCTGCTCTACCAACTGGGAAAGAGAGGACAGTGAGTGAATATGAGGGTCCCTGCTCTAGCGAGAAACTACATGCTTCAGCCTACATATGGCAAAATGTCGTCCTACTTCCATACAGATAAATCAAGATGGCACATAACTGTTCTATTTTTGCTTTCTTTATTTTTTTCAGATTTGTACCTGCTCTACCAACTGGCGGCTGTCTGCGAGATCAATGTTTGGATAAGAGAGAGCACCTGTGAAAGCATTGAGGTCTGTTGATGGCCGGTTGCTCCCTGGTTAATGATGTCGAGGGACATTCACAGGTAAGAGATCGCTGACAGCTGGTAATGCATAACTGCAGGATGAAGCTGAAATGATAGCATTTTCAGGAAGTGACTGTGGTTCTGCAGGTGCAGGGTGGGAAAAATGGGGGTGGGAGGTGAGGAACGCAGAAAGCCAAAGGGAAAGACCTGGTGAAAACCTTACGTACTGACAGATCAAGTTTGGACAAACACGGATACAGACACACTTCAAGATGCAGTATATCTCAAGGCAAATGAGTCCTTTACAGTTCTCATCTCCGTTTGCGAGTGACTGGGAACCATATGGATGAGTATTTGAGTGTATATGCAGAATTGATGCACTGTTGACCAAAAAAGACAATTTATGTTGTGCCATGAACCTACAAGCCTTATCTAGTAAGCTGAAAAATGAATTGTTCCCATATTCTTGTGATAAGTGCATCTTGAAATGCCACTAAATGTTATGTAGACAATCGACAACGGTGTCATTTAAACAGACTAAGCTAGAGGTAACAATGAAGAGTGTTAGTTATGCAGTGAAATGTTGTTCCAATACGGACAATAAAAAAGGAAAAAGTTATCACCTCTGACCTTTTGTCATAAAATCCCCTTGTGATGTTTCAAGCATCTTTTTGTATAAAATTTAAGCTGCCAAAAGTCTCTTTGAAGCTAAAAAGCAAACAGCTTGGGAAGGGAGTGCCCAGATGTAGTTCACTTAAAATTGTTCCCTTAGAATGTTTTCAAACATTCTTACTGTCATGTAAAACGCTCCGCCACAGAATTATCTCCGTTTTGAAGTGGTACGGATAACTCGCGGTACAAAAAGTGGTCTTCCGTACAGCTAAATCAGAATTGTGTTAGGAATTACGTGAACGATCGCTTTAAAACCGATCGCCTGGATGTTGATTTCTAAAGACATGCGTGACCTGCACTGACTATAGAAGCGCTAGAACCGATGCGACTAATTCACTGTTTGAACTTCATGTTATACTCATCCTCAATTTTACAAAGCGAGAGCCAAGTCAATGGTCACCTAGACGTTCAAGAACGAATCATAGGAAGCTGGTGTAGGGCAGAAGAGATACTGTGAGAATAAAATTAAACAAACATTTCTTCTTTCTCTCTTTCAACATCCATCAGTTTATTTGCAAATGTGTAAATCTTTGGGCAAAGTATGCATTTGACGCCTGTGCGATTGCGTGGACCGCTGCTGTCATTCTAAGAGTGAGAGATCGGGGGTTTCAAATGGCACTTGATATGTGAGGGGATATGTACGGCATGTTGCCTGCTAATGAATCTGATCGGCCTATTCATAAATTTCATTGGTAACGTCTGGAGCATGTTGGCAAAAGGGAGATTTGTTTATTTTGCATTTAACGTTGCTTTGCACTGTATTTAAAAAAGACAATATTTATATGTATATTTTCAGAGTTGATTTGAAGATTGGCTTCATTGTTCTTCAGTGTCAAAGAAAATGATATGAAGCATTTTTTTTAGGTCCCTGCATTCCTGCTGTTGTATCCCATATGGTGACTGAAGGAGTAAGTGGAATCGTCATTTTGTCAGGGAGAAAAGCAGGAGAGCAGAACAGTGTGAAACAAATGTAGCTTTTCATCACTGCTATCTGAGTAAAACGGAAATATAACCCTTTCAAAGCTTTAAAGTTGATGTGACACATGTAGAATGCTGTACACTGTCAATAACTGCCCCATTTGTGGAATTGTGGGATATTAGAGAATGCTATTATGACACTGTAGCAATACATCCTGCTTGCTTTACAGAAACTCATACATACAGTCATACATACACAGGCCGCTTCTTGCGGAAAAAAAAGTGCCACGAACCACAACCGATTGTACATTAGTGGAGATGAACCAAATCACCTCCTGTTTCTTCAGAATTTTGGCATGACTTTGCATTTCAATTGAGAAACTGACACGGAAATAAAAAGACATCAACTGAAGTCTGATGTGTAGTTGTGGTCAAACAGAGGTAACGGCGTGTGTGAGTGTGTGTATGTGTGATAGAAGAGCTGCCTTCAGCAGGCCTCAAACCAATAGAAAGGCACCAACCCTTCACTCTGCACTGAGAGTTTCGGAATCGAACGTTAAGCTCTGGCGGTCCCCAGAGGGATACTCTGGGATCGTTTAGTAGAGTCTGCGATGACTCCGAACATGTTACCGCTGAATTGTAATGGCTTTCAATCTCCCTTCCACCCTTGCAGCCATTAAATCAATGCAGAAGAGGAGGGTCGGCAGGGAAATGCCCTGATTGTGAAGCCACGGCAGGCTTCACATCCTTGGGAATGATGATATATTTCGTCCCCGCGATTTAGAAGCTGATTGTTAACACAGAGCTAGACCTAGGCCTGGTTTAGCATAATTTACTCGAGTGTATCAACAAGCTCTCGATTTAACATCTGACGTCTGGATGGAAGACAATCCTACAAAACAACAATTGCTAAAACCCTGCTGTGACGATTTCGGTGCAAAACAAATAATGCTGAGAGGCAAGCTGTGCATGTGTGTGTTTGAGTGAGTGTATCTGTCTGAAAGAGGCTGCCATGCAGTGTTTCGTGTTAATGCTGTTCATTAACTTGGTAATTATTGTTCTACTTTTTTTCTTCTTTAGTTTTTCTCAGGAAAAAGCCAAGAGCAAAGAAACCATTCCGTCTGTATTGTGATGTGTGTGTGAAGTTTTTTTTAATGCATTTTTAGTTTTCTGCTTTTTTTCCCCTTTTTCCTGCTTTTTTTGTTTTGTTTTTGAGCTGTTTTTTTTTTGACTGTATTAAAAAAAAGCACAGAGAACATTGAAAAAAAAACAGTGCAGACAATGGATACGAAACAGGCAAAGTTTGTCTTGGCTGATGGCACCAAGTTCTTTTGGATCCTGATCCCAGCAGGTGCTCCAATCTGAGAGTCAAACGTCCTGCCAGCTGTCCCTCCCCCATAACGTCTCCTCCATTGGCGCACCAGACTACTACGTTCTTACACAGGTGCCAGTATCAACACAAAGCAAAGGAACATTTTTCAGTGTCGAGAGCGACACACAAGGTCCGTGACGACGTGCTCTGGTTCGTGTTTCCCGGATCAAATCAGAGCAAAGCAAAATGAAAAACAGAAGACTTCTGTCCTTTCATACCAAGCCAGCAATCCCAATCTAATTTTTTTAGGCAGGGAGGGGGGTTCTGTTCTCGTCTTATGCTTCAAACGTTTCGTTTCAGTGCCAGATAGCAGTCACTGAACCTTGTGCATACTGAGAAGGGCTCACAGTTCCCTCCCGCTTCCCGTATGTGCACATTTATGCTTGTATTCACAAAGCAAGTTTTTACTTTTCAGAAGTTTAAGACATTTCAGCTCAGAAGGAAAACAAACCATCTTTTTTAACACTGTCTTTAAAAAAAACAAAGGCAAGAAAGTGTCGCTGCGCATCATTTAGGTCGCCTGTGAGGCGTGAAGAGCAGAGAAGAGTTCGCTCCTGAGCGAAGAGTACGAGAAGTCAACACACATCCTGAGCGTTGCCGTATTTTTTGTTTTTCATATTTTTTTCCCCACGCAGAGCCTACTTTTGGGGCCGGGCGTTGCGTTTGGCCGCTTGTTCCATTGGTCACTCCTCAGAACGTATTGGCAATGTTGTTTTCCGTGTTTGGTTGTTTGCTGTATACAACATAGCTGCAGGTTGGTTATTATGAGGTGTCCTTGGAAAAAGAAAAAGGAAGTTCCAGAATGTACAATGAACATGATTCTCTAGTAGAACTGTTAAGTTACGTTATGACTGACATGTGCGTTTCGGTTTTACACATGTAGCGTATAGTTTCCATTCCATGCTATTGGTTGATTTACTGCACACAAAGAGAATGATGGAAAAAAAATGGTGGTGTTTGGCAGTGTCTGACCTCCAAGCTAGCACTCGGTAAGGCATGGCTAATCGCTGATGAAAAGGCTTTTAGACATTTAGAATCCAACAACGTTTGCCCACGCTGCCTCGCATGTTCCTCCTGGTGATGTTTGCGGCGAGACCCCTCATGTGCACTCAAGTCCGTTGTAAATGTTCCTGTCTGGGCGGTGCACACCTGTTCTCCTCTTCGTTCTCACTTGTTTTCTCTCACTCTCTCTCTCCCATCTCCCTCGGCATTAGATATGTCGCTTCATGTGCAAAGCCAAATGATCAGACCTGGAAAAACATCTGTATGGAGAGAAGGAGAGAGAGTTAGATTGGATTCATTTAAGGAAACAGTTATCATCGCACTAAAGAGGGACACAGTCTGAGCTTCTTGGAAGACGTGTGGCTGCTTTGCAGATGGAACAGAGAAAACAACATTTGGCGTTTGGGGAAAAAAAAGAATTTTTAAGCATAGCCAGCTTTTTGCTCTAAAACTGGTGACAGATCGTTTCGAACGCATATCTTGCCAATGCAGTAAGCAGGGAAGTCTGTGCTGAGCCTTGTGAAAGAAAAAATATTTTGGGAGTGCGACCACAAATCACGTCGAGCCTGTTGGAATTAGGAAATTGTTTCGAGGCTGGAGGTGAAATGGTATTGTTTAAATTGTGCGGCTACATTAGTTATGTAGCACTTGAGTCATAGCGGTTGGTTTCTCGTCATGAGCCATGGGCTTTTTTGTGTCATCATCAATTCAGCTCACATGTAGCCGCTGCTAGTAGTAGCAATACATAAACGGTGTTGCAATGCCATGTCTGTTACATTTATACGACTATGAAGATTACAATATTACAGCTAAAATTTTGAAAGTGAATCTTAACTAGAATGAATAAAAGAGTGTAGAGAATTGGAAAGGAGTGGAGAATTATAATTTGAATTTGCCTCTGGCTGTATCCATTATTAATTAGTCAAGAGCCACTGTGTTAAGTCATCTCTTGCTTTTTGGATGGGAAGCAGCCAAGATGGAAATTGGGGTGGAAGGAGGATGTTCTTCTAAAGGTAGACACAGTTGGTTTTCAAATGAGTCATCTTGATGATTTTCTGTATTATATATCAGTCAGATGGTTTCTGTTTTTTTTTCCCAGTTGCTTTGCAGAATTCTGTTCTGAAAGTTGAACAAATTTGCAATTTTCTCAGTATTTTCCCTCTTTCTCTGTATGGCCTTTCAAGGAAAATCCTTCGATTTTATTTGCAATGATCAGTCATACTTATATTCCCAATGAGGGCTTAAGGTCTATGGAGTGCAAAAGCCAAGTTTTAGAAGTAACAATCCCATTCATTTTCTCCATAGAGGAATTGGTTTTTAACAATTCCATAGAAAACTTTGGAGACAGATCTACCACAAAATACAGACTCTATTTAATTGACATTGTCCTAGTGAAGAAGCGCAGTTCACTACCCATGAATCTTGAAAAGACTCCAGTGAAGCACTGTGATCGGCAATGATGTCAGTCTCCCTGCTAATTTAATTTATGAATATTTTGTGATTTTTATTTTTTACAATTGTTTATTTTTACAAATCACAAATTTCTACAAATCAGTATTTTTATATTGTACCATTATTTTTGGCATTCACAGTTCTTCCCTCATAAAAACCATTATATCTATTTTTGAGGATTAAAAAAAAAAATCCTAATGTTAAAAATGAATGGAGAAAAATATATCCAGAACCAAAGCCACTTAAAAAGTGAGTGGTGTTGACGTAATTTTCACAACAATTAAGCCCATATCCCCAACCATTACCTGCACCGCAGTAGCAGCTATGACAATTTTTCTTTATTTCTTATATTGTTTAATTTTAGCACAGCTGGACTGCAGTATTGACCAATCAGCATCTAGCAGTGGATTTGTTTTATGTGAATGGCAGTTGTACATTTTCCTTTCGTTCAGGTATGTGAATCTTTGGCAGAGCTTAATGACATTGTATATTAAAATAAGTTACATTTTCGTTTGTGATTTGCATCGATCTTGGTGTGACTAGGCTTTTAGGGGTGTGTGTGTGTGTGTTTGTGTGTGTATGGAGGCAGGGCAGAGCAACTGGACAGATGGTCCTGTGACTCGCTGTAAGTGGCAGCTACACCAGCTGGCACACCCTTAGATCTCATAACCACTCCCCCCACCTCTCACTCAACCCCTCTCAACACCCGATAGGGGGCTGTGCTTGATTAGGCAGGATTAATGATGCCCAATACACTGGTGTGTGTGACTGTGAGACAGTATAACTGTGTATGTGTTGGCTGACTGTATTTACTGTTAGACTGCCCATGATTGTTGCTCCTCATAACTCATTGTGATGGTAACACAAACACACGTGCAGTCAGTAATTACACGTAGAAGAGAGAAACACAATTCATGCTATTCCAAACCTGGATGTCTTTCGTTTTATCGTTAAGAATGTTTAAACCTCTTTTAATACACATATTTTCTTTATGAATGTTACCTATTTAGAAAGTTACCTTTTTTGAGTATCACTAGACTTCTACCACATTTCACTGAATAATTACATTGAGAACTTTTTTTTCTCACTCAAACTTGCATGGCTTCAGAAGGCTTAGCATACTGATTTAGTTGAGATATATGGAGTCATTTTTGGAGCCAGTGTTATTTTAGTATTATTTATATACTATTATAATATTTATTAACATTTTCAATTAGGCTCTTATTTTTATATTTTCATATTTAGCTTTCATTCATCTTTCTTTTTAATTTGAGTTATTTTAGTACATCAACTTAGTTGTACAGGTTTGGAACAATATAATGGTGAGTAAATGATGACAGAACATGTAATTTTGGGTGAAATGTCTATGCTTTAAAGAGCATAGGTAAACTAAAAGCTTGTGGGTTCAGCCCTGCAAAGGTTAATCCTTGAACACTATCACTGGTATGGCCTTGAGCAAGACTTTTGGTTGCCCCAGAGGGACCATCTATATAACTTAAGACGGTTGCAAATGTCTGGCACTATACCATAAATTGTAGAAGAAATGCTGCATTGTGTGCTATTCTATTCTATTCTATAATAGTGTTGCCACATGTCTGCAACTGCTTTTGTTTAATAAGACATGGACACTTTAATCCAATTGAATAAAATCTATATCTAGCTATTCAGCTCAATTGTAACGATACCATCATCTATTTCACATGTTTTGGCAGTTCAGGTGGCAAACTGATCAGAAAGTTCAGCTCTGTTACAGAACTCACCCTGAACTGACTAGAGGCAGTGCCAAAGAAGAGGACAGTTGCAAAATTGAAGATCATAATGGGCAATTTTGCACATTTTCAACAGAGTGCACTCTGAATCACCATTAGCCCCTGGCTTATTTCATCCAGATTCAACTGGGCATCCTTCCTGCCATCAGACTGCACAGTACTGCCTCCTCCTGTCATTCCTACACATTACTCTTGATTGTTGTCCCAGTGAAGAGCAATAATGCTGCACAAAGTCACTTTCACATTCCAGCAGCATTGCTGTTCACACTTGTAATACTGTTTCCACTCTATATACACCCATAATGCAATGCACAAATAAAAATGGATGTGCCCCCCAAAGAGATTCTTCAAGGTTTAGTATTAAAAGCAAGTAACAGGAGGGGGTCTATGTGTGGGATTCTGCAGTGGAGCTAAATTGCTTAGGCTAGACTCCAAATTCAGAAGATGCCCTTGTTTATACCTGACATGAGGGAGAAAGAATTGCCAATGTAGATTTGCTTATCCAAGCCGACTCCTTTTGTCAAGCAATAGCTGCCAAACACTGAGTAATGAGTGTAGGGACACAGATTTCCCCATGCCTTCCCCCAGAGAGTTCAGGTGCTCTGCTGCGCCCGAGGGAAAACGGTGCTGTTCAGGTGTTAGCAGCAGTCTGCAGAACAGAGGCCTTCCCAGCCGCAACTTGTCCGCTGGGATCGGTGGAGCTTCATTGTGATGGAGCAGCAGAGAAATGTTCAATGGACAACTTTCAAAAGGCTGCAGCGAGGTTGGTTTGATGCCGACGGCGAGACAGGGAGCCGTGTCTAATTGTGCTTCCACCTGGAGCTGGCTCAGTGGGCACGCGGCCTCCACTGTGTAATTGCTGCCCGCATGCCAGGCCCGAGTGACAGCTTCCTAATACTGTCACCTGACAGGCTATCACTCTTTCTCCCCATGCTAATGCAAATCTCTCTTTTTCGCTGCTGTTCCTGTGTCTCTTCACCTCTTTATCACCAACACACACACAAGCACGTTCACCACGCTGCCTCTGCATTGTGTGTGTGCCCTAAATTATAGCCCTTAAGATTTAAAAGGGGATCCCACAGTCATGGAAAACCTAGAAATATGAAATATAAGGGAAATTTTAATTGATTTCCTGACTTTTTAGGTGTGTGCGTTTTAGTAATATTTTTCTTGACATTTCCATGCTTTCTTCTATGTCTTATGTTTAATGTAACTGCATTTACTGTATGTTCAGCTATGAATTTTTTTTTAGCAAGACATTTGCTCTTTGGGAGTGCAAATATTATGATTTCAGAATAGTTTTTTGTAATTAAATCTTTACCTAGTAATCGTGAACAATTCATGGAAAATTCATCACAAAATCGTGAACATTCAGTGGTCAAAAGGTGTGGAAACATTGTTTAAATAATTCATGAGAAGTGTGCATCCCAATTTGCATACTTCTATGCACTCAAAGTAAGTACTTTGTTGGTGAAAGTTAAAAGTACATACTTAAAGTATTTCGAAAGACTTACGGTTTCATTTGTTGTATTTCTTTAGACAAAATACATTTCATTTATCATTTATCCACAATAACATCAAAATAATTGTTGGCTTGTTGTATTGAACAGAATTTTTATATCAATGCATTTCTAATAGTATGAAAATTGTGGTTAGTTATTCTACATAACATCCTACAAAAAACGCTTACTGTGTGCTGATGTTTCAGTATTCAGTCAAAAAAACAAACATCAAATATGCTGTGTCTTTCCTCTAGAGCCCTACGTGCATCCATTTCATCCTGTGCCTCTCCCCAGCTCTTTTATATTACTGTTGTATAACTCTCTTACCTTGGAATGCACACCCATGCCTTTAACTTCTCTTTCTCCCTGCACTCAAGCCAGTGTGGGCATACGCTGTACTGATGGGAGGACGGAGGAAAGTGGAACAGAATGTGAGAATGAGATATTCGCAGTAATTTGGTAATGGGTATCACAGGACCATACTGTGAATGAGATATTCAGCAGGGAACTGGGCCTGCACTAACTTCCAATGAGCCCAATGCAGTACTGCTATGTGCGTGCCATAAGAGAGAATTCAAGGAAACAAGAGCAAAGGGAGGGGCCAGTGGGTTCTTTTTAAGGGAGATATTTTAGTCTTGTGGTCTCATAACTTGAGGAATTTGTTTATGGGAGCTTGAGGACTGTGGACTAGTGTGCTTGAATGTGTGTGTGGGGGTGTTAAAGAACTAAAAGGGGTTAAATATGTGCATACATTTATTGTGAGCTAGCTTTGCAGCTTTTGCACTGTGTCTCTTACCTGTCGCAGTGGTTGCACTTGAAAGGTTTGGCACCAGTGTGTTTGCGGTAGTGCCTCGTCAGTTCATCGCTTCGCGCGAAACGCCAATCACAACCTTCCCAGGAGCATTTGTAAGGCTTCTCACCTGCATGCACAAACACACATCATTTAATCCCTGCTTCACCATTCACACACACCTGTACACAGATGGTGCACCTCTGGAGCGAGACAGCCGCTGTGCCACTGTGAGCACCGTCAGCAGTTCCATTATCTACATCATTCATTACTGTTTCTCTCAATCACACATCCAAGCCAGCAAATCAGATCGCTCACTTTATCTCCCAGTCGACCAATCGCATCTCTGTAGCCCAAACCTCCTGCTTTCTCAGTCATCGAAATGTGAAAAATGCTGCCTTCTCAGGCAATATATGGAGGTGATAGTTTTCAGACACATTTTCCATCTTTTCTTAAATTGAAGAGGGGCTGCCTAAATGTGCTCAGTCACCATAACAGAACGAATTCATAACCCAAAGTCAAGTATCCAAAATGAAGCCATTTGTGCTAAATGTGTTCCACCCTCCCAGTGAGCACTGAAATTCAAATGAAGTTAAACAGATGGGAAAGGAGGTACCAATTGTTCCACATGCCGTACTTTTATGCCTCAGATTTAAAATATGGCCTTGAGTGATGGAGGAAGGGGGGTTTCAGCACCCGAAGAGAGGGTCCCGGCACAGTTGCAGTGTTCCTGGGGAACAGAACGGGCTTCAGCCCGGGGCCTGGGTGGGAATGGGGCGGGTGTCGATGGCACTGATTCAGATCTGGAGGTGGTAATGATAACTGGGGTCTTAATGATGCTTAATGGGAAACGATGCCATATTCACAGCACAAGAGCTGCCAGCTTCTCCAGCAAACAATGTGTGCACCAATCTCCCTAACTAGAGTAAAGCTCCATTAATGTTGAAGTTGCCCAATTGGAAATAGATTTTCACTAAATTGATGCTGACCATGCTTCTAAACTAGGATCACCACCAAGTTGGTAATTTATTTCTTAAATAAAAATACATGATATTAGGCATGTAGTCTACTTTTAATCGTTTTGTTAGGTTTAGGTTAAGTTTTTCAAGACATGATGTTGGCTTGACAAAAGTTTCAAATATTTCTTAGATTTATTACAGTCAGTCAGACAAAGTAGGTAGGTTGCTAGGGCATTATGAGTGGTTGTTCGGGCATTACTAGGAGGTTGCTTATATTTTCTAAGTGGTTTCTATGGCATTTCTATGGTGTTTGTAGTTGATTGCTATGGTGGCCTTGGATTGGCAGTCCAGACAGATAGATAAATGGCTAGACGGATAGATGGACAGACAGATAGATTTTTGGTTCTTGATTATTGATAATTAATCAGTAAGTCTTAAAAAATCTTACTCAACCAATCTACTAGAAAGACCATACTAACCAGTCTAAACTAGTCTTGACCAGCATAGAAATTCATCCTGTTCTATGCTAGTCTTTCGGCAAGGATGTGCCTGGACCTCCATGACTGACTCTGGATACTGGTGAAGAAAATCATAGAGAGGAATGGAAATGATTACAGATGATTACTGTAAATGATTACTGTTATTTTCCTTTTTCCTTTTCCTTTTTTTGTAAGGAAAATATGATCCAATAAGATGTGGAGAAAGTGGAAGTTATTCGCTTTCGCAATATTTCATATCCCAAAAATGTATGCAGTTGATACGAGCACACATATTGCTGTAATGAAATCAAAGTCTGTTCATCTATTTATCCCGTCTCGGTTTTTAGCTTTATGATGCAAGATGAGGTAAAGGATGACATAACGGTGGGTTTTCAGCTACATTGCTCGGTCGGTCCTGGAATTCTCTTATAATGCAAGACAAAGTAAAGAATGACATGGCAGCGGTGACGAGGAAAACGACTCCAAGTAAGACGTCTGACCAATTCCACTTTCCATCTCCCATAGACATATTTCTTGACTTTCGATGATGAAGAGAAGATAATTTTTAAATATAATACCGTGTACTTGGCCTTTTTTTGACTAGTTCACCTCTGGGAATACTGGAAACAAGCAGCGGGCCGCCTTTGACATCTCATCTTTCTCTGCCAGGCAAGACGCGAACAGACAAATAGCAGGTCAAAGTGCCTTGAGGTTTATTTATTATGTTTGCCTGTCCTTGAGCTTCTTCAATTTATAAAATCAGTCTGAGAAAATATCGCCACGTCTGCTCTGGTGTCTGTGACTGCTACAAGTGTGCAGGAAGAGCATCTCTGTGTCATTTGGAGAGTGGCGGGGCCGCAGGTGTGAGACGGCAAACGTTTCGCACTACATTCACAATAATTGGCCAAAGACCCCCTCATGCTCGCTCCCTCCTTATGCCGTAGCCCCCTTCCTCCCCCTATTGCTGTCTGACAGCAGTGAGGCAGGCTTGGACCTGCAACCACGGCAACCATAACACAGGCCAATTATAACTTGGAGAGTCATGAATGCATGATGGAGTCGCCTAGCAACCAGCCGAGAGAGGTAGAGAGAGTGTAAAAAGGAGAGAAGAGAGAGAGCAAGAGCCATCCAGTCGGTATGCAACCTATGGACACTCCGCAATACCAACCAATTATTGCTTGCTTTTGATATGCATGATGTAGTTGCCTGGCAACCCCAACTGTACCCAAAGAGGGTAGGGGAGAGGTGGGATTGATCTGGCATACTGGAACTTCAATTGGTAGCTAGAGCTGCAAATAATCAACCTATTACAGTCTTTTGATATAGTCTCCTAGCAACGAGCCCCCTCCAAAACAGCAAGCTCCTTCCCTCGCACCAGTGTCGCACTAGGTGTGTATGGTGTGGTTAATTACATTTCCTGTGTGTGTGATGGTAAGCTATTATTGTCTCCGAAGTTTAGATTTCAGAGGTAGGGCCTAGTGCCCAATTATCATCCATTTATTTTGTCTTCTCCAGTGGCTCATGTTGCATTTCAAAATGAGCTCTCTAATTCTAACCCACTTTTACCCTCCAAATCCCATTCAGGGATGTGCTATTAACTTCAGCAAACATTGCTGAAAAGGCAAAGCAGGACCATGTCATTAGGCTCCACAGCTGCTCTACACATATATGAGCATAAATGATTGAATTTGAATGTGAAAAATTACTTGAGTGACTTCTGACACCTGATCAAATATATCTGTATATTAAAACAATCAGAATAAAAATTCCCTGATGCATTTAACCAAAGTCCCTTTAAGACAAGTCATGACTCGGCAGCCATCTTTGAAATGCCTCTCGGGCATGCAAGTGCAACTCCTATCTCTTTGAATGGGGAAACATCAAATTCTACAAAACTGTTCACTAAGCTTGCAATTAAATTTCATATTTGAAATCACCAAAGAAATCTGATATCAACTGTCATAAATGTTGTTTATATTGCTCAAATAGTGTTATAAAAAGCGTATTATTCAGGCTAGATCAGCCAGTGCATTCGCAGTCCTGAGCGCATGTCTCAAAACGCTGACTGCTTCTATAGCAACCGGGACTTCTAACGGCAGCTGCAGTGACGCGCTGACTTTACCGATTAGCGATTGGCTCCTTCATACAGAAGGTGGGGCTTCCTGCGATTGAGCGGCCATATTGAGCATTGCATTTTTCCCCATTCAAAACTATACGAGTGACACATCTTGGGTATTCTATAGTCTTTGATTTAACATTACGTGCTTTAGTATGCTTTGATTTCTATCCAAGTCAACAGAGAAAGCTTGGTTGTTGTTGTTGTTGTTGTTTTTTTAGCATTCTTTGGCATGAGTGCTGTGGATTTTTTTTTTTTAAAGACAGCATCAAGTTAAGATTTGTTATAAAATATTTCATGTCAAGATTTCAGCATTCTGCTTCATCCATTTCTCAGATCTAGATGTTTTTGAACACAATACATTTTAATGTGAAATTTTAAGTGTGTTTAATCAATTGGACATGCATATGTTCTTAACCATTTGGGAGCATCCAGTCAAATCCAGTCATGAGCTTTGTTGGATTTGTTATTTCACCAGCTGATAAATGGATGCTTAACAACATCTGTCTTTCAGCCCAAAAGGTAAGCTGACATTACATAATGTGATTGATATTCATGAGCAAAGCTTTCACCTTAGTAGGATTTGTTAATTGCAGTGTATAGATATCGCCAATAAAATAAAATGTGGTTAATGTGTGCTGATAGCAGATATACATTTTGATATTTGACCATTCATGAACTACTGATTTGTTAAGTGTCCTATAGATGTTCAGATGTTAAAGATATCAGTCAGTTTGTTTATTACTACCTCTCAAGTTAGCTTAAAATATCCCGTTTGGAAAAAAAATGGTATTATTTATGTCTTATTTCTTAATTTAGAAACATTCTAATTCACTTTTCAGGGTCACGAGTGCTTCTAAAAATATTTAGACCCTGTTTTAGTAATCTATGGAAATACCCCCCCCCCAAAAAAACAGGATTAAACCAATGAAAAGAATAAATCTGTCTCGTAATAAACACATAATGTGATGAGTCAGCAAGCCAAAATGTCTCTTCAGGGGTTTATTTTCCCCTTTTTCCTTCTACTGCTTATTTCCCCCCATCTTCAAAAGCGAAAGCGCCGTCTATACGCTAGAATCAGCCCAAAAGCGATTAGCATCACCAGCGCTCACAGGAACCTGCCGAGTCAACAGCTGGCCACAGGGGTCAGATACGCTGCATTGAGGCCACTGTCACAGTAGGTTTCGGGGCCACGGCAGAGTGCAACATGCTCTCAGGTTCAGCGAGAGGGCAGAATCGACGGCACCTGAGTGTGCAAGCCCGAATTAGCTGGGAAACGAGATCATCTTGCAATTACTGACTGCACTGGCAGGTTTTGAATGGTGTGGCTGGGTTCATTTTAGTCTGAGATTTAAGGTGCAGGAGAGAGAAAATCAGCTACCTTGCTGTAGGGTTGTGCTGCAAAAATCGAGTTAGCTTCACAAGATCTCTTGTGACCCTTCTGTAGTATCAGAGGCTTGGCAAAGAAGATTTTCCAAACTCTGAAATGTCATCTCATTACATGCAGAGTTAGACTTGGTATACCAGAAACCTTCCTCCAGGAAAGTAAAAAATGCTACATGTGATGCTAAATGCTAAAAAACATATGTAACTGGTGCAGTTAATCACCTGTATGTGTCCTCTGGTGTGCCTTTAGGTGGGAGCTTTTTGTGTAAACCTTCCTACATCCATTAAACTGGCAACGATGGACCCTCTTTTTGTTCTCCGGAATGTCCCCTCCGCCTACCGTTCCCAGTCCTCCCTCTCCGTCGCTCTGTGTGCCGCGGTTTGGTGGCGAAGGTAGCGAATGTGTCGCCACCAGCTTTGCCGCCCCAAGACCGACTTTCTTGGCCACCAATTTTAGCGTGAGCGTGCCATCGGCTGTGGCGGTAAGAGTCTGCGTAGGCTTGACAAGATGGCGTCCCAATTCCGGAGAGGAAGGCGGCGTGAGGGACGTGACTGCGTTTAGCTGGGCGGGATTAACCCCTCCGCTGGTTTCTTTCAGCCCTGCCTCGGTATTCTTGGTGTTGGCTGGGGCATGAAGGTTTTTGGGTAGGGATACAAGCAGAGGTGGTGGGCTGGGCTCATCGGATAAACTGGGCAGCAGGGGGTCCATCAGGTCCTCGTCGCTGTCTCCCTTCATGAAAGCTGGCGTAAGGAGGCAGTCGAGCTCCTCGTCGAAGAGCTCCGAAAGCCTTTTGGGCTCCGTCTGTAGGTACCTCTCCAGTTCCAGACATGTCTGCAGGAGAAACAGAAATGCATAAACATGAGACAGTAAGCCTCAGAATACTCTAAGTCCAGTGAAGTTTATAGAGGGAATGCTAACCGTCTGAAAAAAACACTGCTGGTTACAGCTGAACATGCTAAAATTAAACACGTGGCAGGTCAACACATTTCCAGTTGGGATTTGTCCAGTTGGTCACACCATGGAAAGGTGTAAACAACTAAATCTGCTACATAGAGACTTTTGGAAAGAAAAATTTTGGAGTGCAGCTGGGAGGCAAGATTTTCTGGAAGAGAAACTGAACATCTGTGGAATTATTTCACTTTGCTGTGGTTGAGGGAACAGTAT